CGCGTGTGAGTGGCCTGGGGAGGGGAGGTTTGGGACCAGCCAGGGTTAAAATATAGAGTTCAACAAACTCAAGGAACTTCCGTTTTGCAGAGAAATATTAGTTTTAACACACACACCTGCCTAATGTGAGGCTCAAATGGAATAGCTGCTGTATTATCTTTAATTGTGTTTGTCTGTGTCCTTTATAAAGTTTATACCTCTGATAACTGGCATTACATTATATGACACACGTGGCCCAGCCTGACAAAGTCCAATTTATGTCAAATCTGGCCCTAATACCAAGTGAGTTCAACACCCCTGGCTTAGGGCCCCACTGCTCCTTCCGCTCTACTGGCTGCTCAGATACAGCTATCGCCTAACACTTCCAGCCTATTGAGGAGATAACGGAAGTGGTTAAGCACCTTACAAGACACTTCGTACCGGGCTCCAGTTTACATTGAGAGTAGCCCCTAAGACAGACTGACAGGCAGTCACAGGAGGCCAAGATCATAACATCAGCAAGATGGTTTACTTTCCTGAAGGGCCAAACAGGCATACCTAAGAAATCTTGATATGAAATATAGCACAATGACATTAAACCTGATCTGCAAAACTAAACGCTCCATCAGAGTCACTGGGGCAATCATTAGGTGTCTTTTTGTCCAAGGTTGCTGATGTACCTCCGTTCTCTTTTGGTTTCTTTTTGCCTTCTTGATATGTTTTTCTCTCTCTCTTCATAGCCACGTGAGTAAGGGTATCTTTCCACAGTCGGAGGAACCCAATGGAAGGGGAAGGAGATGGAAGAGAAGGACCCAGAAGGACCTGAAACTGGGAAGAGATCAAGGAAAGGTCCTCATCCCATCCAACCAGGAAGTGGTGCTGAATTCTGGGAAAGAGCTGTGCCAGAGATCTTGGTTCAGGACACTATGACCGCAGATGTACGCAGCCAATGCTTCCGGCTGTTCTGTTACCATGAGGCTGATGGGCCCCGAGAGGTTTGCAGCCAGCTCCATGGACTCTGCAGCCACTGGCTGGAGCCAGAGAGGCACACCAAGAAGCAGATCCTGGACCTGGTGATCCTGGAGCAGTTCCTGGCCATCCTGCCCCAGGAAATGCAGTGCTGGGTCAGAGGATGTGGGCCGGAGACCAGTTCCCAGGCAGTTGCCCTGGCCGAAGGTTTCCTCCTGAGTCAGGCAGACGAAAAGAGGCAGGCAGAGCAGGTGAGGGGGTTTCCTTCGCTCAGTTCAAGCAGCAACCTTTTCCAGAGGCTTCCCAGCCAGATATTTCTGCCTCCATATAATTCACTCAGCTGGGAAGGAAACCCATCCCTGATTCTTGCCACTGTAGTTGAACCAGCTCTAAGGGATAAAGAGTCTGGGAGTGGGGCAGGATCCTTGCCCTCAGCCTGTTCCATTCCTTCTCTTACCCCTCTCCTTTTCTGCTCTTTCAGAGGGGGGGACCATCAGTGAAGATGGAAGCTAACTTCTCTGAGGAGGAAGGATCTCCTCTGGAGGAAGGGCAGAGCTCTCAGGCCCAGGAGCTTGCCCAAGATGCCCTCTCAGATGGTAAGGCTGATGGGATTGAGGCACACAGTGAAGTTGTTGGGTAGAAAGTTTAGGACAGGAGAAAAAGGAAACGGTGCTGTACAGAACACAGAGTTAAGATCTGGGATTCAATTTCATAGCATGCCGTGAAGTCTCCTTCCTTCTATTAGTGGGACTCAAATCAGTTCAAAAAAGGAAAGGTCGGCCAATCTGGGCACAGCTGTGAGCCATGGGAAATGAGTGGAACCTCCATGTTCTGGGGCAGCCTACCTCTGAAAACGCATTGCTAGTGGCCAACATTTGTCTCCTGTGCCCCTGCTGAAAGAGAAGAGTGGACTGTGAATGCCTGGCACCCCTGTGATGTCTGGAGGTGGTGCATGGACTGGGTGTGATGTCACGGCATCAGCAGACACTCGGGAAACCTACTGATATTTCCCTGGAGTTTTCATATGAGCTAAAATCACCCTCTTGGTTTTCGGAGGGATGTGAGAGATACATGTCATGCAGTGTCATTTCTGCCCCTCTCTTTTCCTCCTGCCGGCCTGAACTGAAGGGCCTTTGGGAGGGCCCAGCTGGGGGGAGAAGGGAGTTCCTGGGCCATGGGTCTGATCCAGCAGGGATGTTGTTTCTTTGAACTGCAGAGTTCACAGAGCACATTTCAGTCATCACGGAAATTTCAGTGGGTCAGCAGCATTCAGAAGCCCCCAAGGCTCATGGGCAGCAGTGCTTCCCTTCTGTCTCTCCCACAACTTACTCAAAATCCTTACAAATTGTGTCGAGTGTGCCTATGGCAAAGTTTCACAACCCCGGGAAGGAGGGTGCACAAAGTGGGATTCAAACAAGCAAACCAACGAGGGAGTCTAACCTAACAAACTTTCTTCCTTTTTGGTCTCCCTCTCAGGCAGCGGACAGGTGGTGTTCCGCCATCATCTTGGCAGAGGTGTGGAAACAGCTGCTGCGCCTCCAGTCCAGGTAGAGGAGATGAGTGGGGGGCAGCCTGGGTCCCCCCTCCTTTCACAAAGGGGCTTTTACTCCTGCAGTCCCTGCTCAGGTGTCGAAGGGAGAGAGGCTCTGAGTGCCACTCCTTTTGCCCATGCCCAGCTCTGCATCCTGCACCCTCCCCCTTTTTTTAAACTGTCCCCTTTTTTAAAGGGGCAGGGTTTTATTACATTTTTCACATAACATACACAAACAATCATAACATATACATACATACTAACGTACAAACAGATACATGGAGGTTATTTTCAATTTTATCAATGTTTATACTGATGCCTATTCCACCTTACTAACAATTTCTCATGAACTGTGTAAGCAACTTTTCTGTCTCTATCATCCTAACAGGTATATATTTTATTTAGTAAACTCTTAGTCTGTCTCTTGCAAGCTTGCCTACATATGTTTATCATACCAGTTATAGAACCGTGACCAAGTATTCTGGAATGTCAAATCTGTTGCGCCTTTTATCAATGAAGTCAATTTATCCAGTTCCGCAGCCTCCAAGATTTTGTTTACAAGTTCTCGTTTTGTTGGTATCTCCGGTAATTTCCAATATTTTGCATAGAGAGTTCTTGCAGCCGTAGTTAAAAAAACAATCAAATAGCGATCATCTTTGTTAGAATTATCAGGTAGAATATTCAACAACAAAGCCTCTGGTGTAAATGGTACTACAGTCCCTA